GTTTGTACTTTTATGTATGGTATAGTGACCATGCCGTTAGTTTTGTTATCTCTGTGTTTGTACTTTTATGTATGGTATAGTGACCATGCCGTTAGTTTTGTTATCTCTGTGTTTGTACTTTTATGTATGGTATAGTGACCATGCCGTTAGTTTTGTTATCTCTGTGTTTGTACTTTTATGTATGGTATAGTGACCATGCCGTTAGTTTTGTTATCTCTGTGTTTGTACTTTTATGTATGGTATAGTGACCATGCCGTTAGTTTTGTTATCTCTGTGTTTGTACTTTTATGTATGGTATAGTGACCATGCCGTTAGTTTTGTTATCTCTGTGTTTGTACTTTTATGTATGGTATAGTGACCATGCCGTTAGTTTTGTTATCTCTGTGTTTGTACTTTTATGTATGGTATAGTGACCATGCCGTTAGTTTTGTTATCTCTGTGTTTGTACTTTTATGTATGGTATAGTGACCATGCCGTTAGTTTTGTTATCTCTGTGTTTGTACTTTTATGTATGGTATAGTGACCATGCCGTTAGTTTTGTTATCTCTGTGTTTGTACTTTTATGTATGGTATAGTGACCATGCCGTTAGTTTTGTTATCTCTGTGTTTGTACTTTTATGTATGGTATAGTGACCATGCCGTTAGTTTTGTTATCTCTGTGTTTGTACTTTTATGTATGGTATAGTGACCATGCCGTTAGTTTTGTTATCTCTGTGTTTGTACTTTTATGTATGGTATAGTGACCATGCCGTTAGTTTTGTTATCTCTGTGTTTGTACTTTTATGTATGGTATAGTGACCATGCCGTTAGTTTTGTTATCTCTGTGTTTGTACTTTTATGTATGGTATAGTGACCATGCCGTTAGTTTTGTTATCTCTGTGTTTGTACTTTTATGTATGGTATAGTGACCATGCCGTTAGTTTTGTTATCTCTGTGTTTGTACTTTTATGTATGGTATAGTGACCATGCCGTTAGTTTTGTTATCTCTGTGTTTGTACTTTTATGTATGGTATAGTGACCATGCCGTTAGTTTTGTTATCTCTGTGTTTGTACTTTTATGTATGGTATAGTGACCATGCCGTTAGTTTTGTTATCTCTGTGTTTGTACTTTTATGTATGGTATAGTGACCATGCCGTTAGTTTTGTTATCTCTGTGTTTGTACTTTTATGTATGGTATAGTGACCATGCCGTTAGTTTTGTTATCTCTGTGTTTGTACTTTTATGTATGGTATAGTGACCATGCCGTTAGTTTTGTTATCTCTGTGTTTGTACTTTTATGTATGGTATAGTGACCATGCCGTTAGTTTTGTTATCTCTGTGTTTGTACTTTTATGTATGGTATAGTGACCATGCCGTTAGTTTTGTTATCTCTGTGTTTGTACTTTTATGTATGGTATAGTGACCATGCCGTTAGTTTTGTTATCTCTGTGTTTGTACTTTTATGTATGGTATAGTGACCATGCCGTTAGTTTTGTTATCTCTGTGTTTGTACTTTTATGTATGGTATAGTGACCATGCCGTTAGTTTTGTTATCTCTGTGTTTGTACTTTTATGTATGGTATAGTGACCATGCCGTTAGTTTTGTTATCTCTGTGTTTGTACTTTTATGTATGGTATAGTGACCATGCCGTTAGTTTTGTTATCTCTGTGTTTGTACTTTTATGTATGGTATAGTGACCATGCCGTTAGTTTTGTTATCTCTGTGTTTGTACTTTTATGTATGGTATAGTGACCATGCCGTTAGTTTTGTTATCTCTGTGTTTGTACTTTTATGTTTCTTAGGGACATTCCCATTGCTTTTGTTTTCCTTTTGTTTTTCTGCTTTCCTCCTTATCGACCATTCGGAGTTTTTCTGCTTTCCTCCTTATCGACCATTCGGAGTTTCCACATTTGGCAGTGCCTCTTTAATATGTTGCTTTTCAAGTTCCATGTCGTCCGGTTCAATTACGATGTTAATGCATCTCTCGTGAACTGTACCCAACTTCTGATGCAATGGATGATGTGAATTGAAGTTGAGGCACTGGTCTGTGGTTTTTTTCTGTATACCAGCAATTTGATGAAACCGTCTGCCCTTCTTACGATATGGGTATCCAAGAAAGGATTTTTTTTCATCTGCCTTTTCTTCTGATGTAATTTTTATGGAGCCTGTATCATCAACCTGGTCTAGGTGAGTTGATTGTTTACCTCACCTTTCTTCAATACTTCCAAGATATCGTCAACATCTCTTTTACCGAGTTTGTGACGTCATTTCATCTGAGCGGTTGTGATGGTTTAACGCTCCAGATGCTCCATGGATAAGTTAGCAACAATATGTGATAATGGGCTTCCTATAGCTGCCCCAAACTTTTGTTGGTAAATTGTGCCTCTGAAAGAGAAATAAGTGGTGATGAGTATAAACTCCAACAACTCAGTATGTTTTCAACAGGAAGGCTTGTTCTTTTCTTCGGGGTACTGTCTCCTTTTAACCTATCCATTTTGACATTTACCAACACATCCACTGGTGTATCGGTAAAGAGGGACACTACGTCATGCGAGTTCAGATTTCTGTCCTCTTCATCAATTATGTGAGTAAGATCCGACGCCAAATCATCTTTTCTTCGGGGTACTGTCTCCTTTTAACCTATCCATTTTGACATTTACCAACACATCCACTGGTGTATCGGTAAAGAGGGACACTAGGTCATGCGAGTTCAGATTTCTGTCCTCTTCATCAATTATGTCGGTAAGATCCGACGCCAAATCTTTTGAAATTTTCGCGTTGTGTTCTGTTTTTTCCCATCAGCGGACCCAGAGTGTCGGCGACTATCTGGATATACCGTAGCCAATGGAACCAGTGTAAAACTGTTATACAATCTTTGATGCATTAAACTAACTGTTATACAAACTTTGATGCATTAAACTAACTGTTATACAATCTTTGATGCATTAAACTAACTGTTATACAAACTTTGATGCATTAAACAAACTGTTATACAATCTTTGATGCATTTTACAAACTGTTATACAGTATTCACGAAACAAACCGTCAAACTTTCTGTGACACACAGTAGAATTTTATCACTTCTTTTATGGAGTGGTGCTCCTGATTACAGCTGTAGATTTTTTTTAATTTTTTGCGCGATATCTATTTTCGCGTTGTGTTAAGAATCGATCACAGGACAAAGAAAAGTCAAAATTCGAAAGTAAGTGCGCGCAAAACATAAGTAAAATATACGGACAGTAAAATGTATGTTATAAAATACTGCTTCTACTTTTTTTCCACTTGAGATAAATGAGACCACCAGAAATATGGTATGGCTTACTCTTCCCCGAGAAGGGCAGTATTACTCCATCACGACGGATCAGGCCTAATCCGTGTCCCAGGCAGGCGATCATCTCGATCTAGCTATTGGGCTCGTCTCTGATCCTCCCGACAAGTTAGCCTATGATATACAGCTCTAAGATCGGCTATACGGGACCCCAATAGGCCCTTGAGGAAAGTCCCTTTATTGAAAAGTACCCATACTCGACCATAAAGGGGCTTAGTTTTCATTGACTGGCCAGAGCCATCGAGACGATAAGTTTGTACAAATAACCAGCCGCGTTACAGGTGAGTGTTGTATTTCAAACACAAACGTCCCGGAAACCTTCACAAACGGAATGTTGTGTCAAACGAAACGATTGATTTAATCTCCAGATTTGATGTATATGCAAATTAACCAAAGTGGATACGAAAGCGTTCCCTGGAACGTAGACCTAAATAGGGAGGATAGGTAGTGCATGTACGTAAAAAAGGGTGTAAGATTAATTCAGTATTTATATCTAATGGACAATTATACACGTACTTGTCTGTAAGTGACTTGTAACTGGACCGTTGTTCAATATGAAGAATAAAACATATAACTAGTAAGTACCATTGCGAAAGTCAAGATAAGTATGTTTCTTAATAGATACATCCCACGTGCACATGTAAAATAGAAAGACATCCCATAGGTAAAATAGAAAGACATAATCACATATAAATAAACAACTCTTCCCATTTAAAAACCAAAACAAACAGTGATGCACCGAAAATAAATAAATATTAGATAATACCACTTTTATAGGGTTATATTGACCATAGAAAATCAGAAATAGGTGATAAATTACAATCACAACGTGTTAGCAATACGTCGTTAAGTATCATCGGCTACTAGTTGAAATTTCGATAATTCCCGATGTTATACCAAAGCGTCAAGGCACAAAAACGATATCAGAACTCAAAGTGGAGGCTTAAGATAACAACAGGACTTGAGGAGATACGAATACGAACTGAAAACGTTATTAACCCCTACCAGGAACTCCGTGAAGGCACTTCAGGCATCACATGCAGAACCAACAGGTCTCGGGCCATATTGAAGAAATATTTGAAAATGAATGACTGGTGTATGGTTGGTTGTCCTGTTCAGTATGTTAGTGTATACTTGGTTGTAACGGTGTTAGATTCTACTAATCATCTCGGAGCCTTAAATGTGTTGACCATCCTTAGGTTACACCTGAATACATCTTAGAGCTTTGTTATAAACACAGCTTAATAAGTTCACTACTACTTAAACACACAAAACAGAAGATAACTGCAATTCAAAGTTTGTGCTGTTCACAAAGATTGATGTATCAATTCAATTAGTTTATTCTGTATATCTTATATCAAGTGTTGAGACTTAAGAAATAGACAACAAAATATATGTTTTCAATCAATTTGTTTTTATTATAAGATTCCTATTGTGTATATATCTTATAACAAGTATATGAATAATGAGATATGAAAATGTCTTTAACAACAATCAACAGTAGTTACTCTCCTAGTCCTCTGCTAGCAGTGTTACACATACTCTGTCCGGTCAGCCACGAGTACTCCCCTAGCAGTGTTACACATACTCTGTCTGGTCAGCCACGAGTACTCCCCTAGCAGTGTTACACATACTCTGTCCGGTCAGCCACGAGTACTCCCCTAGCAGGGTTACACATACTCTGTCTGGTCAGCCACGAGTACTCCCCTAGCAGTGTTCCACATACTCTGTAGGAATACTTCCCGACCTATCTGTCCGGTCAGCCACGAGTACTCCCCTAGCAGTGTTACTCTGTAGAAATACTTCCCGACCTATCTGTCCGGTCAGCCACGAGTACTCCCCTAGCAGTGTTACACATACTCTGCCCGGTCAGCCACGAGTACTCCCCTAGCAGTGTTACACATACTCTGTAGGAATACTTCCCGACCTATCTGTCCGGTCAGCCACGAGTACTCCCCTAGCAGTGTTACACATACTCTGTAGGAATACTTCCCGACCTATCTGTCCGGTCAGCCACAAGTACTCCCCTAGCAGTGTTACACATACTCTGTAGGAATACTTACCAACCTATTTGTCCGGTCAGCCACGAGTTCTCCCCTTAACAGACCATACAAACTGTATTTTGGTATGTCAATGCTAAACAATAAATATATCACACTGTAAATAGCACTGGAAAAAATAGCTCATTTTTATATTTATTATCACAAATAACATATGCCAAAAATAACATATGCCAAATGTTACATAGCACAATACAGGACTTAAAATGGGAAGTGTCCCTACATAAACAATTATCAAACAGAAAGAGGGGATAATGTCCTATGCAAATTGACAAGATTTTTTAGGGAAAGGAAATGTCCTGTGCAGGACACGAATAACCGAGTACAAGAAGGAAAAATGTCCTAAATTAATGGAATTACTGGGAGGCAAAAAAATCTTATATTAACAGAAAAAGAATTACTGAGAAGCAAAAAAATCTTATATTAACAGAAAAAGAATTACTGAGAAGCAAAAATGTCCTAAATTAATGGAATTACTGGGAGGAAAAAAAATCTTATATTAACAGAAAAAGAATTACTGAGAAGCAAAAATGTCCTAAATTAATGGAATTACTGGGAGGCAAAAAAATCTTATATTAACAGAAAAAGAATTACTGAGAAGCAAAAATGTCCTAAATTAATGGAATTACTGGGAGGCAAAAATGTCCTAAATTAATAGAATAAATGAGAAATAGAAATATTCTAAACTGACAGAACAAGAATTGCTGAAAAGTAAATGACCTGTATCTAGCAGACAGACTAGGAAAAAGAGATTACTATAGATTAGTACTCTCACCATTAATGAGGGAACCTAATTACTGAGAGAGAGAATTATAGTTTAACTGAACAAGGTTTATTGTGAAGGGAACGTGGCCTCTACTTATAAATCATGTGTTCTAACAGAATAAGCATTATCTAGACAGGGCCAGATATACAACATCTTTCTTTCTGTAATTTACATACACAACCTGCTTCCTGTGCTGAAGTGACCGACTAGTCCAGTCCTGTTGGCCCATGAATTAAACATGCATTGACGCAACAGTAGGCATTTGATTTAGGGCCACAGACTCGTCTACACAGGAGCAGGCTGGCTAGGTATGTCGGACACTATCGTGATTGTACATAAGTAGTCTAACCTGTAACCAACCTAAAACCTCACCTTAGCATCTCACAACTCTACAGTTCACAAGTAAGGTCAACAACGTAGGTCACTAGTGTTTTACAGTAAAACATCAGAAGTGTGTAGCAAGCCCAGCTCATTTATAAAAACTGTATCAATGTAGTTTAAAATGGACCAGAAAGGTTTACACTCCTCTGTCTGGTGTTATCATTTAAATTCAATCCTACCTAGCTGAATTTGTGAAATGTCATTAATATCAATAACAATATCATTTTACTGAAATGACAATGAGAATTTAACATTAAAATAACGAAAACAAAACAAAAATTTGTGGAGAAATTCTGACAATCATGTATGATCTATTGAAATAGGATATTTATTAAATTTTATAAATGAACTTCTACCTACCATACAAGTAACTTCACAACTACAATGCAAGAAACTGTCTAAGTTGTAAACACTCTGCTGAACACTGGATATAATGATAAATATGTAATTATTATTTCTATTAGTTTCAAGTCTCAATTCTACTGAACTTCACTGTAGGTAACACCCAGTTGGGGTGATTGTGAGTGGTACAGTGCCTTTCAATGCAGAAAGGAATTAAACTTGGTATGAAAACAGAATGGCACAAAAGAATACAAAAAAGTTTAAAACATTGCTATGTATTACCAAACTAATCTGGCATTCCTAGCTGAGTGTTGAAATCATAATTACAACATCATATTACTAAACTTGGACCTTCCTGGAAAATGGTTGTTCTATATGCTGTAGAAGAATGTGTCAAATTAATTAAATTTAGACTAAATCAGTAAATGATACCTTTTGATGAATAAATCTTATTTTGTATAAGATTAAAATATTACAAAAATAATAAACTTTAATATAATAAATACCTACAGATGTGGATGTTACCAGTACAATGAGACATCCTTATATTGAAAATAAAAATCACTAAGCACAAATTTATTTTGACCACATTAAATACAGCCCTATCTTTTTTTCTGTTTCTTTTTTTGTCACAATGTACAAATACCAGTTCATAATTTGTCACTAGAAACATTAATTGTACAATGCAATAATCAAAACTTTTTTTCAGAATGAGGTTTTACATATAAACATGTTCTAACACATCAAACAACCTATTCTTTTGCTTCAAGAAAATTAGATATCAGAATTTAAAAATTTGGTAAAATAATAGTAATGTATTGATGACAAAATTAGGATGGTTAGGTGATTTTATAATGTATCATAAGATATCACCTTTTATAAGTTTTTCATACTAAATTGCATAAATGTTCACATCTTGATCAACGTTTTGAAGACATAGCAATAAAGTTTGTATAAAAACGGTTGTGAAATGCTATCATGTAACAGTCTCATTAATTATCAAGAAAAATTTCTCACATACTCGCACAAAACAATATATTTTTTCGTGATAATCAAACAATTGTACACAGTAAATTTTGGCCAGATTCCACTCAATCAAGTCCTGAGCTTCTTAATCTTGCTTCAAAATAGAACATTATTAGCTTCTTTATTTATAAATGTTTAAGGTAATCTTGACATGTGCCCAAAACCACAACAAAGATCACTGTAGCTTTGTAAGTACAGCACATTAGGGTCCGACATGATACATGTAAAGCAACATTTGTAGATCAACCAAATTTAGATTTGTAGCTTAAATAAAACATTGTTTAACAACCATTCAATAAACCGCTACATTCATGATAGATGATCTTATAGTCCACACGAGCCCTATCAGTAAAGCAGCCAAATCGGTCAAAACTGGGAGGCAACTTTGACGGTAAAATGGCATGTGATATAAAAAAGGGGATGAACTCCACTCAAATTGATAGGCATACTGTCAACAATGCCGAGAGGGTTAGCCTGAAACCAAATCATATTGATATCACTATTGAGTTGGTGGGAATGGTAGCCTCTATGAAATATCACAATGTTATAACGTCCCAAGAGCCCTGGAAGATGTTTCTAAGGAATGCTAGCCTCTTTACAATATCACCATATCATTTCAGTGAGTTTTAGGAGAATGCTCGCCCAAAAATACATCACAATGATGTCACTGCTGAGAGCTGAGGGTGATTGTTAGCCCATATTATAGATCACAATTACTTCACTTTTGAGAGTTTGTTGAAAATGCTAGCATGCACAAAACATCACAATATAACTTCTGGGAGTTCTACTGAATGCTAGCCTGTTCTAACTGAATGCTAGCCTGTATCAAAGAACCCAGAAATATAACTTTTTGGAGTTCTAACTGAATGCTAGCCTGTAACAAAGAACCCAGAAATATAACTTCTGGGAGAATGTTAGCATATATGAAGTGTAAACAGATAAAACTTCTGACAGGTCTGGAAGAACGCTAGTCTGACCACAATGATCAACACTCTGTAAGTTAAAAGCATACAGCAGCACAACATTGTGTCGGTAAGTTAATATTAAAATCAGGGAATGATAAACAAGGGTCATGTTAACGTCCCATTCTCATTAAATTCCTTACTGAACCAGCAAGCCTACAGTAATTGTTGAGCTAAGGTATCTAGTATATACGTTCATAAAACAAAAGGTAGGCCTGGGCTCTTTGTACAGTCGACTCAGTAGCCTCTGTAACACGACTGTCACTTATGTGGTACCAGCGCCCAGGCGGTACAAGTTTCTCTTCTAGCACATCAATGGCTTCCTCACGCTCCAGGGGCATACTGTTTGACAGGTTTTCCATGTAGCGTTGGATGTATTCGCGTCGACTTGGGAATCCTGACAGCAGGAAGGTGTTGGTGAGGCCTACATTAGGTCGCACCTTAACATAGGCAGTGTAGTGACCAGCGTTGAGACGGCCACTGTGTTCCACCACACCGTACAAGGCATATAGGATCTTCTGCTGCCCGGGCTTGATACCCTGTAATACAAAGATAGGTGTTTAAGATCCAGTACATCCACCTAGGCTATATATCACAAGTTATTGGGTACCACAAAGATAGGTGTTTAAGATCCAGTACAGCCACCTAGGCTATATATCACAAGTTATTGGGTACCAACCAAGCAGACCAACATTTATTTGCTGTTGGTAATAACATGTCAAGGGAGATGACTCTTCTACAAGCAATGAATGAAGATATTTTGCTTAAAGGTACCATGCTATAAACTTTGTTTTGATCAACATGATAAATCTGGCATTTTGTTTTTTCCTTACATAGCAAAAGTCATTAGCTTTCCAATAATACCACACTCAGGAAGTGAAATGTGTCAAAGACAGAAAATAACAAGGATTTTTTAAATTTATTTTTCTTGCCTACTGTAAAGAATTTGATGTTTTACTTAATGTTAAGCATGGGCAGACACGTATGATGTAATGGCGATTCCAATGCTAAAAGGCGGTTGACCAAGCAGGCAGACAGAATCAGCAAAAAATAAAAAGGTAAAAGCTGGTCAACAGCCTAATAAAGTGAAAGTATACATTGATGAAGCCATAGACGAATGGAATACACTTATAAGAGGAAAAAGGGTCTGTCCACCACTTGGTTTTACTTGACAGGTGAGAACTGAATTGGCTAACAGTAACACTCAGAACGTTTATTGTGTAAACATTATTTCTGACCCAGTTGAAGATATAGTCGTTATTCGTTGGATTCTGCTGACATGACATCTCATGAACTCACGTATGCATAATAATGACATAAACACTGCCTCAACCCTGCTGCTGGTGAGATAAGTAGCAGTCGGGAAAATCTTTCCCACAATTATACTTGAAATTCTAAATCTTTTAAAACCAATATTCTTATATATTATTTATGAAATTTTGTGACTACAATTGTAACCACAGTTGTTCCAACAGATTTCAACACGGTTACTTTAATCGGAGGCTAATATATCAGTTAATGTTGACATACCTGGCATAGAGAACTACAGTACGGGGCCAAATCCAACACAAAAGGGAAGTCTACATGACGATTGACTTTCCTGGAGCTGTAGCCAACCTGAAAGAAACAACACACATTTATTGTTCTTTTTATAATTAAAGTCATAATTATGAATAAACCAGACTACTGTATCCTACAAAGTAAATTCAATTCCATAACACATTCATTGACATATTTCCAGTTTCCAATGCAATGATTCTTATTACTACAAATTAAACATAAGTTCATTACACACTTGTACAAACCTATCTATGCAAAAGTTCATACACTATCAGCACAGGAAGTGAGCTGGCAATACATAGCCTTACATCCAGCATCAACTCACCTATTCAAACCTCTTTAGGTTAAGTGTGAGAATAGGGGGAGGTGTAACATCAACTCACCTGTTCAAACCTCTTTAGGTGAAGTGTGAGAATAGGGGGAGGTGTAAATATCAGGTACTGCTTGGAGGCAATGGAATACTGCTTGTCTTTCTTCTCTGTTAACAAATCAAATACTTCATATTCAAAATAAGTGCTGATGACACAAAATGTATAAAGCTGAGTTTCTAAACTATTCTCTTCTGTACACGTTAAAGACACTCGAACAAAATCTTAATTCAAATACAGGTACAACCCTCTGAAATTTACTACACATAATAATATATGTGATTTGAAGCAATAGTCCTGGATACTGAAGGCTATTTATTCCAATTCATTAGGATATTTATCTAATACTCTCCCCACTTTTATACCTGAAGCACACAGACACTGACCTTTGTTAGGGTATTGTTTGTTTTTAATCCTGGTACACTGGGCACAGCCAAACCTGTTGTTGCCAGTGAGCAGCTCTGCTGACGTGAACTGGTGCAGACAGGACATGATGGAGCATTCCCGTGACGACGGCTGGTACCTATGTCCCAGAGTCAAGGTTGACTTTGCCTTGGCCTCTTTACGTTTTGAATGCTTAGACGCCTGGCGACACAGACAGGCCTTTTTCTGTACACTGTCCAGCGTACCTGCAGAATGGGAAGGCTTGGGTGAGTTACGTCCACCTTCCATACTGGAACCCAAGCACTCCACTGACCGTGACTTTGGCAGGGAGTGGTGATCACATGTGTTCCTTGAGGTTGTGTTGTGTGTGCCTCTGGTCTCCTCTCCATGGTCATCCTGTAACTTGTCTAGTTTATCTGTAAGTACTGAAGTGTCAGTGGAGGTGCCATTACAGAGGCCAGGCTCCTCCTTACTCAACATGCCACAATTACTTACATGTCCGTTCATAATATGCGTATCTGAAATACTTTTTCTCACCATTTCTACATTACAATTGTCACAAGTTCTGTTTACCAGTTCACCATTACATAGACTAGCACTTTGTTTCACCTCCCCGTCACCACTTATGTCTCTGTTTGAGTCCGAGGCTTGACCATTGAAATCAACCCCACTATCACACTGACCACAGCCATTGCCCTCCTCCTTACATATGTGGCCATTACTCCCTCTATTGTGTCCTAACTCCTTCCCATCACCAATGTTGTTGTGTCTGCATTGGTCTTGCCCCAGCTCCTCCTCAGCACTGTCCTGGCCCTGTTTGATGGTGCTTGTGCTCCCACTCATAGAGCCAGCCCCTGTGCTGCTCTCCGCCCCCTGGGAGCCCTTACATGTGCCACTTGACTCTGATAAATTCCCAGCTCCACCCGATTCCTGCATGCTTGATTCTACCACACAGCCTGATGGGAAGGTTTCATTATCTTCATCACCGCCCACAGCTCCCTCATCCTCTTCAGCTACACACTTCTCTCCAAAAGAGACAGACAAGCTGGCAAATCTGTTGATATCACTCTCTAAGTTGTCCTCTACATCAGCATCTTCACAATAAAACAAAATGTCACACAAACTTAATACTTACTATCATAATTATTATATGCTCTGTCATAAGAAACTAATATATTTGAATTTAAAGAATTTAACATTATTATCATTTAAACAGTGAAAATAAAATAAAAATATCAATCAGTGCTCCATGATAGAACAAGGGGGGAGACATAATGTTCCAAAACCAGTGTGATCTTTGCACCAACCACACCACATGAATAAACAACAGAAGATTTCCTATGTCGTCCTGAGACTTGTCTATAACAAGTCAGTTGTGTTACAATCACATGACAGCTGTTTTACTGGTAAGGAATGTAGAATTTACCTCCAAAACTTTGATTTTTGACTTATAGGAATGGACACTGGGAGTCAAGTCCTACAATTTTACTTCATGATGTTGTAATAATGTTAGCTATATAGAAGATATCAAATCCGACTTTCATTATCTTGACTTCTAAGCTTGGCACCGTGACTACACACCAGCAGGCCACTTGGCTTTACTTATAGACAACACCATGCATTGTTTATCATTAAGAAACATACATGTATTTGACCATTGTGTCATCTTCTATTGACCTCCTAATTTTTACTGACACAATATTTACAATAAATTCATCGAATTTCACTGTCTGATCTTGACCTTACACCACACAGTAAAGAGCATCGATCACAACAATATTGATTCATTATATGTTATTAAAAACAAAGTTACCGCAAGATAATAAATTTGAACTTCATGACCTTAACATTTGATCAAATGACCTTATCTTACACTTTTGTGGCACATGACATCATTTCATCCCATTTTGAAAAGACCCATTACTTTCTTTGAGATAGCGATTTCTAAATTTGACACTAAAATCTAAGATAACTGAACATATTAATTTAAAGTAGTTAAGGAAACAACATTTCAATTAACAATGCTTACCAGATGGGTCATCTCTATTACTGGAATTTCCATCTTCATCTACCGTTTCCTTCTGTGCTTCCTCCTCCTTCCTTAGCTCACCTTCTGCGGTCTCAGGCTCTGCCCCCTCCCCAGGCCCATCTCCTTCCTCCACAGAAGGGATGTTGCCACCTGTCATAGGCAACACTTGGTTCTTGGAAACTTTGGAACGTCTCTATCACAATAAAACAATAAATAACTACAGCAAAAGCCCAGTAAATTACATCATACATTAATTTTTATGAATTTGTATAAAAATCCAATACTTTGACCTCCCTAAATTTGAAGCAAATCATATAATTATAATATGTATAAGAATGTTATCAGAAACTGCATACTAACACAATAAACTGGTACAGAAAACAAGAATACGAGGAGGAATAATATGGCATTCAGTAGTCACAATAATGTCAATATAGAGGTGTAACAGTCAGTCAGGTATTGAAAGAGTGGTAACCGAGTCAAAATGACAAGGAGATGAAATAGGCATTGTGACACATTTGATCTGTTGACACCAAGTTTGGAGACCTGGCAAAGAACTGTACACAAGATATGACCAAAACCATTATCTATAAGAAGGGACATAACTCTCTTATAAAAGACGCAAATTCTGCTATCCTCCATCTTCCTAATACATCAGCTGACGAAGTCTCAATAAAATCCAATAACATTTGGTTCAGTTATCCTGTAGCCAATCGGGTAAAAGCAAACTAAATCAAATATGCAAGAATTTGGTTCACCGTTGCACATGGCCTCTGTCTTCCTAAGAAGTACTCGTTGAATTCTATCACATTTAGTTACCCCACGGTAATATATATTATGACTTCTAACAAACATATGGAGGGTCAGTTAGAGGTGGGCATATACAAGTACGACACACTCAATCTGACCTTAATATTGTGTCGATACAAATTCAAGGGTAATACCGCCACATATTAAGACAACTTTTACCACACCTTATAATTAATAGTGTTTACCTTTGCATCCTTCTTTGCTTGACGTTTTTCCTTCTTGCTAATGTGTTTACCATTCTTATCGCCCTTGAAGGCAAATCCGTCTACACCAATGGCGGGGGAATCCTCCGGGACCTCAGTATCTGCTGCCTCCTTCTTCCTCCCACCTGGTACCTGGTTTGGCCTCTGAGGCTGGAGTAAGTAAACAGGCATACAATATAATGATAGCATTCTACAGATACAGGGGTTAGGTATATCATATAATGATAGATAGTGGTTAGGTATATCATATAATGATAGATACAGTGGTCAGGTATATAATATAATGATAGATACAGTGGTCAGGTATATCGTATAATGATAGATACAGTGGTCAGGTATATAATATAATGATAGATACAGTGGTCAGGTATATAATATAATGATAGATACAGTGGTCAGGTATATAATATAATGATAGATACAGTGGTCAGGTATATCGTATAATGATAGATACAGTGGTCAGGTATATAATATAATGATAGATACAGTGGTCAGGTATATCGTATAATGATAGATACAGTGGTCAGGTATATAATATAATGATAGATACAGTGGTCAGGTATATCAAATAATGATAGGTACAGTGGTCAGGTATACCATATAATGATAGGTACAGTGGTCAGGTATATCATATAATGATATATACAGTGGTCAGGTATATCATATAATGATATATACAGTGGTCAGGTAGCTATAGATGCAGTGGTCAGGTATATCATATAATGATAGTTACAGTGGTCAGGTATATCATATAATGATATATACAGTGGTCAGGTAGCTATAGATGCAGTGGTCAGGTATATCATATAATGATAGATAGTGGTTAGGTATATCATATAATGGTAGATACAGTGGTCAGGTATATCATATAATGATATATACAGTGGTCAGGTATATCATATAATGATAGGTATAGTGGTCAGGTATATCATATATTGATAGATACAGTGGTCAGGTATATCATATACTGATAGGTACAGTGGTCAGGTATATCATATAATGATATATACAGTGGTCAGGTAGCTATAGATGCAGTGGTCAGGGATATCATATAATGATAGATACAGTTGTCAGGTATATCATATACTGATAGATACAGTGGTCAGGTTTATCATATAAAGATAGATACAGTGGTCAGGTATATCATATAGTGATAGATACAGTGGTCAGGTAGCTATAGATGCAGTGGTCAGGTATATCATATAATGATAGCTACAGTGGTCAGGTATATCATATAATGATAGGTACAGTGGTCAGGTATATCATATACTGATAGATACAGTGGTCAGGTTTATCATATAATGATAGATACAGTGGTCAGGTATATCATATAATGATAGATACAGTTGTCAGGTATATCATATACTGATAGATACAGTGATTAGGTATATCATACTAGAGGCAAATTAAGTCATTATGTTGAACAAATTTTATAGCCTTTCATCACAGGATGCAACTTGCCAAGTATCAACATCCTGGGAACCATGGTTATTCAGAAGAGGTTGTTTAAAGATTTTAAACAAATTTGACCCCTGTGACCTTGAATATAAGTCAAAGTCATTCACTTTAACAAACATAGTAGTCCTTGATCCCAGCATGCTACTGACTAAATATCAACATCCTGAGCCTTTTGGTTATTCAGAACAAGTTGTTTAAATATTTTGAACATATTTGCTCTTTGTGACCTTGAATATGATTCAAGGTCATCCATTTAAACAAACTTGGTAGCCCTTGATCCTAGTATGCTACTGACTAAATATCATCACCCTGGGCATTTTGGTTATTCAGAAGAAGTTGTTTAATGTTTTTCACATATTTGACCCCTGTGACCTTGAATATAGGTGAAGGTTATTCATTTGAACAAACTTGATAGCCCTTTATCCCAGCATGCTCCCGGCCAAATATCATCACCCTGTGCATTTTGGTTATTGAGAAGAAGTTGTTTAAATTTTTTAACATATTTGACCCCTGTGACCTTGAATATAGGTGAAGGTCATTCATTTGAACAAATTTGATAGCCCTTTATCCCAGCATGCTACTGGCCAAATATCATCACCCTGGTCATTTTGGTTATTCAGAAGAAGATGTTTAAAGTTTTTAACATATTTGACCCCAGTGACCTTGAAAATAGGTGAAGGTCATTAATTTTAACAAACTTTGTAGCCCTTCATCCCAGTTTGCTTCTGGCCAAATATCATCACCTTAGGCCTTTCGGTTTTTAAGAAAAAGTCGTTTAAAGTAATATTGACGCCGGCCGGACTCTGGACGCCGCACCACGGCATAAGCTCACTTGGCACTTCGTGCCAGGTGAGCTAATAATGATAGGGACAGTGGTCAGGTATATCAGGTATATCATATAATGATAGATACAGTGGTCAGGTATATCATATAATGATAGATACAGTGGTCAGCTATATCATATAATGATAGATACAGTGGTTAGGTATATCATATACTGATAGGTACAGTGGTCAGGTATATCATATAATGATAGGTACAGTAGTCAGGTATATCATATAATGATAGATACAGTGGTTAGGGATATCATATAATGGTAGATACAGTGGTCAGGTATATCATATAATGATATATACAGTGGTCAGCTATATCATATAATGATAGATACAGAGTGGTCAGGTATATCATATAATGATAGGTACAGTAGTCAGGTATATCATATAATGATAGATACAGTGGTTAGGCATATCATATAATGATAGATACAGTGGTTAGGAATATCATATAATGATAGATACAGTGGTCAGGTAGCTATAGATGCAGTGGTCTGGTAGCTATAGATACAGTAGTCAGGTAGCTATAGATACAGTGGTCTGGTAGCTACAGATACAGTGGTCAGGTAGCTATAGATACAGTGGTCAGGGATATCATATACTGATAGGTACAGTGGTCAGGTATATCATATAATGATAGATACCGTGGTCAGATATATCATATAATGATAGATACAGTGGTCAGGTATATGATATAATGATAGATACAGTGGTCAGGTAGCTATAGATGCAGTGGTCTGGTAGCTATAGATACAGTGGTCAGGGAGCTATAGATACAGTGGTCTGGCAGCTATAGATACAGTGGTCAGGTAGCTATAGATGCAGTGGTCTGGTAGCTATAGATACAGTGGTCAGGTAGCTATAGATACAGAGGTCAGGTAGCTATAGATACAGAGGTCTGGTAGCTATAGATACAGAGGTCAGGTAGCTATAGATACAGTGGTCTGGTAGCTAGAGATACAGTGGTCAGGTAGCTATAGATACAGTGGTCTGGTAGCTATAGATATAGTGGTCAGGTAGCTATAGATACAGTGGTCAGGTATATCATATAATGATAGATACAGTGGTCAGGTATATCATATACTGATAGGTACAGTGGTCAGGTATATCATATAATGATAGATACAGTAGTCAGATATATCATATAATGATAGATACAGTGGTCAGGTATATCATATACTGATAGGTACAGAGGTCAGCTAGATCATATAATGATAGATACAGCGGTCACGTTGCTATAGATACAGTGGTCTGGTGGCTATAGATACAGTGGTCTGGCAGCTATAGATACAGTGGTCTGGAAGCTATAGATACAGTGGTCTGGTAGCTATAGATACAGTGGTCTGGTATATCATATAATGATAGATACAGTGGTCTGGTAGCTATAGATACAGTGGTCTGGTAGCTATAGATACAGTTGAGTCACCAGTGTGAAAACAAAAGGTACATCTAGAGTCCCTAACATGCCCATTATTACAGTAATAAAATACACTTTTCTTTGAAATTTGCCAATATACAGACAGATATGTCTAAGAACATGCATTTTTATTTATTTCTATTAGTACAATATAAGTTTGTATATTGACATTCTTTTTGTCTCTATCTAATTATTTCTTTCTATTTATGCTCCGTTGTAGGTTTGACAATCGCCTTAGATCTCACCTATGGTTCAGGCAACATAAAGAAACTTCAATAGCTTGTCTGTATATTATAGTTATATAATATACAAGTTATAAAAACGTTCTCTAGCAAACAGGTTATTATAATAAGCTTGTCTGCTTTAGTATTAACTTGTTGGTGGCTACTATTAGACTTTACACTTCTGCTATACATTATAATGATTGTAGAGACAACCTACTCATTCTTTGCTGTAATCAGAAATGTTCCAATTAGTGAATATTACTGAAATGTTTCAGGACAAATAGTTTCAGCTATTTCATCCTTAATACTATAAAATGACAGATTGGAGATGAAAACTCTACATATATGTTTTTATAATTTAAATGTTTAACAAAACCTACCTTCACCTCTCATATATGTTAAATGTAATTCAATTTTTTAACTAAGCCTACCTTCTCCTCAGTAATAGGTAGAGAAATGTCAAGGAATGGCTCAAAGATCTGTGATATCTGTAATAGAAACAGTCAACTGTGTCAATGGGTACAACTGTGATTGGAATTCTGTACGTTGAACATTATGTCAAATTTTGTTATCTAATCAAAATGTAATAAACACTCTTTCTTCTATTTATTCAGCAAAGGACCAATTAGAATGAAATTTAACTGTTGGGAATGGAATGGAAATCAGAATATGAAGATTTTCAAATGACTGATTTACAAATATGTATTTTTATATAATATTTGACGTTGTGGTATAACAAGAGGCCCAGAGGGCCTATATCGCTCACCTTGATATATGTTTAAAGTGCTTGATATGAAGTAAAGATATAGCACTCCTTGGTAGGTACTGTATGAACATATGAAATTTCAGAAAGATCCATCCAATATTTCTGGAGATCAAACTTCAAATGTCAAAATCCAGGATGGCAGCCTGGTGGTCATCTTTTTATACATCCTTATAGTAACAGGCACTACTCGACAACTTGTTGGAGACAAAATTGGGATAAAATCTTGAATCCCTATTGTAAGAGAAGGATTTCAAAGGTTTACCTCTATTTCCCCTAGTGGGCCCCAACCCTCTGCCCTGGGGGCCACACCCACCGTTCAGTCAAAATTAAGTGCCCTTGGCCCAAGGATCCCAAACCAAATTGGGATGAAATCCCTTAATCCCTTTGGTAGAAGAAGGATTTTAAAGGTTTACCTCTATTTCCCTTATTTGGCCCCACCCCTCTGCTCCCAGGGGGGCCACACCTACGGTTTATACAAATTTGAGTCCCCTTGGCCTAAGGATGCTCCAGATCAAATTGGGATAAAATCCTTAATCCCTATGGTAGAAGAAGGATTTTAAACGTTTAACCCCTCTTAGCCCCTCTCCTCTGCCCCAAGGGGGGCCACAGCCACCGTTTATTCGAAATTGAGTGCTCTTGACCGAAGGATGCTTCAGACCGAATTGGGATGAAATCCATTAATCCGGTAGAAGAAAGATTTTAAAGGTTTACCTCTATTTCCCCTATTTGGCCCCACCCCTCTGCCACACTCACCATTTATACTCCAGACTAAATAAGGATAAAATCCCTTAATCCCTATGGTAGAAGAAGGATTTTACAGGTTTAAAGGTTTTACCTCTATTTCCCCAAGTGGGGCCACACCCACTGTTTATACAAAATTGAGTGCCCTTGGCACAAGGATGCTTCAGACCAAATTGAGTCAAAATCTACAGTACCATTCAGGACAAGTAGTGTTTTAAAGGAAAAGTTGACAGACGGACAACGAACGCTGCACTATGGTATAAGCTCACTTGCCCTTTGGGCAGGTGAGCTAAAAATAAAGGATATGCAAAACATATCATTTGATGAAGAATAAAAATATCTGATTTGCCATAAAATGGATTACCTACATATAAGAACACTCCCCACATAAAATGGAGTACTTACATAAGAACATTCCTCACAGATCACAGTGCTGATCAGGTTCCCACCAAATACAGCATCAACAAAAGTGTGCTTGCCCTGGCGACCATATTCTGGAAATCATAAAAAAAACATACATTTTTTTACAAATCTCACACTATAAACTGTTTATAGCCATTTTCTAGTGATGTAAGTTGTAAGTTTGCTTTATAGGGTGTATCCACAATATCTTTCTGTTCAGATAATGAAACAACTTAAAAAGTGGAAAAAAACTAAATATTTACAAAAGTGTTTAAAACACTCTGTTTAAAGCCTCTTATGGTGATTCTTACCTCGGACTCGATATCGAGTTTCCTCATCTACTTTCTTTGGATTAATATTTTCTGACAATTTGAAAAACTTTAGAATAGCAGCTTGTCGTCTCTGAAAAAAAAGGTAGCTTTATTTTAAATATGTTTCTGCTGGTTTTTTTACATGTTACAGACTTTACAACGCCATCTCTGAAATTTTACTCGTTATAACATCAATATATCTCTATCATGTATTAACCCTTAGGCTGCTACGCGCGACATATGTCGTTTTGAAAAGTCGGGCCGTCAGTGCTACGCACGACATATGTTGTTTCTCGGTCTGTAGGTTTTGATCGGTAGCCAGGAAGTGTGAAGTCGGGTTGTTGCTATACCTAACCCGAACGTGTATAGTAGAAGGCTTCTGATCGGTTGTTTTGTCATTACTTTCGATATTCACGGCAGTGTACCCTAGGAATAACCAAAGGTGTGCGAGAGAATTTCAAATCGAAAAAAAGTCATAAAAATGGAGGACGTGTAGATTGAAGCGATGAATATGATGGTAAACATTTATTCTCCATCGTCACCTACGATGATAATAAAGGTTTTGAAGGGTTTGGCATGGTTGATGTGGAAATACTTCAGTGTAACATAATATGTAACTTTCCAATAAACAGATTTGTGCCCTACGCAAACAGGTAAATATCGGCGGACCGAGGCGCACATGTCGTCTGCAGGTGAGGCCGAATTGAACATTGACATTGATACGTCTTGAGCCGATTTATTTCTTCAAACTTTTTATTGATGATTTAATCATAAACTAGACCGTAGCTAAGATATATCTATATGCCGACTGTGACAGTAAATGTCTTGAATGGCGACCTGAAACCTGTAGCAAATCACATGCAATTCTTGATGAAATACCTGACCTTTTTACCTGAGAATCTCCGTGTAAATATACAGCGTCTTAAGTCAAAAATGAAGTTTATAATCTCTGTTATCATTTGCCAATCACATTTGCGGACGAAAATAATTTTAAAACGATCTTCCTAATGCTTAAATCCAACTAGAATTATGTCAGTGTGACATTACAGCCGCTCACCACTTTAAATTTAATTGCTTCAGTGACACGTTGAGCATAAAAAATTACTATAATAACTCAGATATGTGTTCTGTATTCTGCTAATTGAAAATCAGGTCATCTGATGATGTTGCGTTTAGGATTTTCAAAATCAATCACCTCTTAAATGATGCCTTAAAAACATTTTTCCCTCTCCTCTTTTTCACCCTCTTTAAGTGTGACGCATTGTTGTAATTTTCATTAATTAGCATCCTCTAATGATGTGACATGAGCGTTTACGTGCAGAATGGCAATCGGTGAATGGATAATAAAGAAAAGGTGCATTTTTTGCTTGTGAAATGAAGGATAATTAACAGTAGTGGGAAAACATGCATGGAGAAAAGAGACATTGTACTCCTTTTATTTTTATTTTTATTTTATTCATATTAGTGAAAATTATTAATATTTGTAGCGACTATATTTACCGTCATTGAATATACAAAATCTCACAAATGTTCTTGGAATATATTTGAATTATATTTCTCAATGCGACTTTACCAACGTAAGAGTTATTTCCCTTACACCCTTATCCCTTAATTGGATACTATTTTGACACGGCGCGAATTCTTGTCAAACAGCAGCGGCAGTTGTGTCATGTTCTTAAATTGTTACACTTTCATAAATAAATACACCAGAAATAGCATGCTGTGTTACAAAAATGTTTGATAAGCATACCCAGTTCACATATCGTCTTGTCTCGGAGCCATTAGTCTACCGTTACCAACCTAAGCACGATATGGCATATATACGTTACCGTTTCAAACATCAAAATAGAGGTTATACTTCATTACTCATACGGTTTATAAGTTTATATATTTACTTCTTCCTTCTACAGACAGCGTCAATGCTTGACAGTCATCACATATGCTTTCTCGAATCATATGTGTTTCACACGCGTAACACTCCCCAGACCGCAATCCGAGTTGCTAAAACGCTCAAACCTAGTGCACGAATTTCACCACCACAACACTCGTAGAATGCACCGGAGATAAACATTTTGTTTTCAGCAATTATTTAAAGTATGGATTATTATTTGGAGAAGAGTATCAGAAGACTTTATGTAACCCACAGGTGAGCGTCAGAGATCCTACTTTCTATTTACGATAACGAAACTATATAGCGAAAGCATGCAATACTGAATTATGCGCACGCACCCCGAACGGAAGTGGGTCCGTCATTTCGTTCTCTGGACAGAATTAATAAGCCGCTCGGCTCTCGCCAAGAGCGGCTTAATTAATTAAAAGTTTCACATTTTCTTACCTTTATTACCACCGGTACAGGTAAATACTGAAGCAACTTTAGAATTGAAAACGTTCATATAAACTAGAGACAACAACGAACAATTTTCATACAACTTTTTTTCACATATATATATAACAAATATTTTCCAAGTTATGCACATTTGAAAAATCAAATATTAATTTAAATTTCAATGATTAATTCTGCAGTGGTGTCCCTTTACATAGAAATCAATGTAGCAGCCTAAGGGTTAAGTCCAAAGCAAACAAATAAGATTTCTATTTCACCTCTCAAAAGACTGTATCACTGTACTAAATTTTACTTCCTGTTTACTGTATCACTGCACGAACTTTTACTTCCTGTTTATTTTATCACTGTACTAACCTTAACTTCCTGTTAATTTTATCACTGTACTAACCTTAACTTCCTGTTTACTGTATCACTGTACTAACTTTTACTTCCTGTTTACTGCATCACTGCATGAACCTTTACTTCCTGTTTACTGTATCACTGCACGAACCTTTATTTACTGTTTATTTTATCACTGTACTAACCTTAACTTCTTGTTTACTGTATCACTATACAAACCTTAACTTCCTGTTTACTGTATCACTATACGTACCTTAAGTTCCTGTTAATTTTATCACTGTACTAACCTTAATTTCCTGTTTATTGTATCACTGTACTAACCATAATTTCCTGTTTATTTTATCACTCTGCTAACCTTAAGTTCCTGTTAATTTTATCACTGTACTAACCTTAACTTCTTGTTTACTGTATCACTATACTAACCTTAACTTCCTGTTAATTTTTTCACTGTACTAACCTTAACTTCCTGTTCACTGTATCACTGCATGAACCTTTACTTCCTGTTAATTTTATCACTGTACTAACCTTAACTTCCTGTTAATTTTATCACTGTACTAACCTTAACTTCCTGTTTACTGTATCACTAAACTAACCTTAACTTCCTGTTTACTGTATCACTATACTAACCTTAACTTCCTGTTTATTTTATCACTGTACTAACCTTAACTTCCTGTAAATTTTATCACTGTACTAACCTTAACTTCCTGTTTACTGTATTACTATACTAACCTTAACTTCCTGTTTACTGTATCACTATACTAACCTTAACTTCCTGTTTACTGTATCACTATACTAACCTTAATTTTCTGTTTACTGTATCACTATACAAACCTTACCTTCCTGTTTATTTTTTCACTTACTAACCTTAACTTCCTGTTTACTGTATCACTGCATGAACCTTTACTTCCTGTTTATTTTATCACTGTACTAACTTCCTGTTTACTGTATCACTGCACAAACCTTTACTTCCTGTTTACTGTATCACTGTACTAACCTTAACTTCCTGTTTACTGTATCACTGCATGAACCTTAACTTCCTGTTTATTTTGTCACTGTACTAACCTTAACTTCCTGTTTACTGTATCACTATACTAACCTTAACTTCCTGTTTATTGTATCACTGTACTAACCTTAACTTCCTGTTTACTGTATCACTGCACAAATCTTTACTTCCTGTTTATTTTATCATTGTACTAACCTTAACTTCCTGTTTACTGTATCACTTTAATGACTGTTACTTCCTGTATATTTTATCACTGTACTAACCTTAACTTCCTGTTTATTGTATCACTGCATGAACCTTTACTTCCTGTTTACTGTATCACTGCCCAAATCTTTACTTCCTGTTTATTTTATCACGGTACTAACCTTAACTTCCTGTTTACTGTATCACTGTACTAACCTTAACTTCCTGTTTACTGTATCACTGATGAACCTTTACTTCCTGTTTATTTTATCACGGTACTAACCTTAACTTCCTGTTTACTGTATCACTGATGAACCTTTGCTTCCTGTTTATTTTATCACTGTACTAACCTTAACTTCCTGTTTACTGTATCACTGTACTAACCTTAACTTACTGTTTATTTTTTCACTGTACTAACCTTAACTTCCTGTTTACTATATCACAGCATGAACCTTTACTTCCTGTTTATTTTATCACTGTACTAACCTTTACTTCCTGTTTACTGTATCACTGTACTAACCTTAACTTCTTGTTTACTGTATCACTGCATGAACCTTTACTTCCTGTTTACTGTATCACTGCACAAATCTTTACTTCCTGTTTATTTTATCACTGTACTAACCTTTACTTCCTGTTTACTGTATCACTGCATGAACCTTTACTTACTGTTTATTTTATCACTGTACTAACCTTAACTTCCTGTTTACTGTATCACTGCATGGACCTTTACTTACTGTTTATTTTATCACGGTACTAACCTTAACTTCCTGTTTACTGTATCACTGCACAAATCTTTACTTCCTGTTTATTTTATCACTGTACAAACCTTTACTTCCTGTTTACTGTATCACTGTACTAACCTTAACTTACTGTTTATTTTTTCACTGTACTTACCTTAACTTCCTGTTTACTGTATCACAGCATGAACCTTTACTTCCTGTTTATTTTATCACTGTACTAAACTAACTTCCTGTTTACTGTATCACTTCACAAATCTTTACTTCCTGTTTATTTCATCACTGTACTAACCTTTACTCCCTGTTTACTGTATCACAGCATGAACCTTTACTTCCTGTTAATTTTATCACTGTACTAACTTTTACTTCCTGTTTATTTTATCACTGTACTAAACTAACTTCCTGTTTACTGTATCACTATACTAACCTTAACTTCCTGTTAATTTTATCACTGTACTAACCTTTACTTCCTGTTTACTGTATCACTGCACGAACCTTTACTTACTGTTTATTTTATCACTGTACTAACCTAACTTCCTGTTTACTGTATCACTGCATGAACCTTTACTTCCTGTTTATTTTATCACTGTACTAACCTTTACTTCCTGTTTATTTTATCACTGTACTAACCTTAACTTCCTGTTTACTGTATCACTATAATGGGTTAAGTTCAAAGCAAACACATAAGATTTCTATTTCACCTCTCAAAAGACTGTATCACTGTACTAACCTTTACGTCCTGTTTACTGTATCACTGTACGAACCTTTACTTCCTGTTTATTTTATCACTGTACTAACTTCCTGTTTACTGTATCACTATAATGACTGTAACTTCCTGTTTATTGTTTTACTCTATTAACCTTGATATCCTGCTCACTGTATCACTACACACATTTACTTCTTATGTTCACTGTATCACTACACACATTTACTTCCTATGTTCACTGTATCACTTCACACATTTACTTCCTATGTTCACTGTATCACTACAAACATTTACTTCCTATGTTCACTGTATCACTACACACACTACACACATTTACTTCCTATGTTCCCCTTATCACTGCACACATTTACTTCTTATGTTCACTGTATCACTGCACACATTTACTTCCTATGTTCACTGTATCACTACACACATTTACTTCCTATGTTCACTGTATCACTACACAAAATACACACATTTACTTCCTATGTTCCCCTTATCACTGCACACATTTACTTCCTATGTTCACTGTATCATTACACACATTTACTTCCTATGTTCACTGTATCACTACACACATTTACTTTCAATGTTCACTTTATCACTACACACATTTACTTTCTATGTTCACTGTATCACTACACACATTTACTTCCTATGTTCACTGTATCACTACAAACATTTACTTCCTATGTTCACTGTATCTCAATGCTAACCCTGTTTTCCTATTTCATGTACTTACCTTGACTTCCTCTGTTTTCATGCTGTCTAACAAATAACGCAGGAGTTCATGGCTGTCTTGTTGCTGGTAGCCACGAAACCTCTGGGCCCTGTTTGAAAGTAACCATCAAAGTAGTCAACTACAGTTTTCAATCTTATTTAACATTCTGACAAAATCCAGGCAGGCAACAGGGACAAGACTTATTATTTGAGATTCTCACCAGAACAATATATTGCAATAAGTACTGGGTATAAAACAAGAGGCCCATGGGCCTTAACAATCACCTGATATATTTATACAGAGAGTTGATTTTGCTTTTAACATGAGCAGAAATATTATTCAAAGTGACAAAAAACATTAAAACCACCTTATTCAATATCTAGCATAGAGATTTCAGACTAAAAAGGATTTGAAACTAGCACCTTGGGGGTAGGGCTGGCTCAAAATTTTCAAAGTATCAAACTGTCAATTCAAGGTTATAATTCCAATCAAGTTATTAACATGTAATATTCAAAGTATTTTCAAATAAATTTTGCCCCCCCCCTCCTTCTCCAGGGGGTAAACGTGAGACCCTAGGGTCATAAACCTTAAGACCCTTCCATCTATGAAGAGTATTTGATTCTACCATATCTGGGTCTTGAGAAGAAGATTTTTGAAATTTCAGTCAATTCAACCCTTTTTGGCCCCACCCATCAGCCCCTGGGGGTCAGTCAGGGCTCATAGGTGCATACTATCAAACTGCTACCTAATACTGATAATGCTAACCCAAATTGAATTACTTCCAATGGAAATTAAACAAATGTTGGTCCAAAATGTGATTTCCCTATATAAACTATAGTAAAGTTTACCCCCTCCCCAGGGGGAAA